ACCTTTGTGTTTGTCTCTTACATTTTTGAAACACTCTTCTCTAACCTCCCCCCTCTCGACTTTTTTCACTTTGAAGTTGCTTACCCTCTGTGAAGCCTGAAGTCAACTAAAGGGCTAATGATAACTATCAAAACGCCTGCCATTTGATATAAATAAATGTTTGCTCTTTTTTTCTTAGGCCAGGATGAAGTTAATCGCCTGGTAAGTGAACTCATCGATGACTATCGTGACCGCAAGGAGCGTTTTATTCAAAAAAAGGATAATCAGAAGTCTCGAGGTTTCCGAGTGAACAATGATCGCTATCCACCTCTACGAAGTCTCCCACTTTATGGCGGACTCCCAGCCCACGAGCAGCTACGTGTATTCGAACGTCCCACTCACGCTGTCCGCACTGTTGTTGTGGCAACCAATGTAGCAGAAGCTAGTATCACTCTGCCTCGTGTTGGATACGTCGTCGATTGTGGTTACGCCCGTCTCAGAGCTTATAATCCTGACAACGCTTTGGAAGCTCTTGTAACATTGCCTGTGTCCAAAGCGTCTGCTAATCAGAGAGCTGGGCGAGCGGGTAGAGTTAGGGTTGGAGAAGTTTACCGACTCTATACTGAAGAGGCTTATCGTCTTATTCTACCCCGTTTCACAGCTCCTGAAAGCCAAAGAAGTGATCTCTCTGCCGCTTTACTGCGTCTCAAATCATTGGGAGTGGATTCGCTTGTAAAATTCGATTGGCTACCTCCGAGACCCCCTTCTAGACATTTAGGGCAAGCGGCAGAAAGATTAGTCTCCTTAGGAGCTTTATCAGTAGCAACTGGTATGCCTATGACGGAACGGGGAGCTAAACTAGGTGGTCTCTGCTCTGCTTGTGGCCTTAATGATCCTGCTGCTGCAGCTGCGTTGCTCGGCGCTGTGGAAGAAGGCTGCACAACGGAAATCGCAGCCATTGTCTCTTTGATGCAGGTTAGGTATCACAACTGTATATAATAAGACCTACCAGAAAGAAAGAGATAGAACTGCTTAAGCAGTAGGTAGGGCGGGGCGGGGCGGGGCGGGGCGGGGGGGGGATGGGGAGTTGGATGACAATCCTGACTAGGAATTAATCTATTAATATTGCTGGGTATGGAACCCAGGAGTCGGGTGTTCGAAATGGAAAGCGTCAAAAAATAAATCTACTTAATACTGCTAGAATGTTGAAGAGACAGCACAAGTACCCAACTGATCAGGTGGCGTAGAAGCATGACAGTCGATCATTTGAGTTTCGGTAGATAGATGCGTTGATGCATAAAACTCGTTTAAATCTAGTCAATTGAAGGAAATTTCGCAAAGTTCCTAGTTGTCTAAAAATGCTATCTCAGGAACAATCCTGCATGAATTAGGCAAACTTAATTGGTCAATATTTGCAAGTGAATTTATTACATTCAGTGTCGTATCAACATTTTTTATTGCGATTTTCTCCATACTACAGCTTCAAAGTGTTTTCGTGTCAAATGCCAATTATCGAAAGACGGCGGATCGTAGTCGTCGAGTTTTGTTCGGAACTACGTCAGGGGATCACTTAACAGAGTTAAATGCTTTCACAGCTTACGAGGCGCAGTCGTCCGAGCTAAATCCTGTGGAATTGCAGAAGTGGTGTCAGTCAGCGGGATTGAATGCTAGGGCTCTTCAACACGCAGTCTACCTTCGAGACAGAATTTTGGGTGTTCTTGAACGCTCGAAAATGCCTTGTGTATCGGTGGAACCACCTGGAAATCCCCAGCCAATCATTCGAGCCTTACTACGCGGTTTTTTCACTCAGGCGAGTCTACTTATTTTAGCATTAGTAGTAGTTGGTAATGGTTATATTATTCCGCCAACGAAACAATTTTTCTAATTCTGCTCATAGGTCAGCTTTATATGTTTAACCGTTGGATGTAAATCAATTCGTGTATTTTATCCTCTTGTTGCTTATTTTAATGTAATCGATATTGTTTTTCAGGTTGCTCAGTTGTCTCCCTCCACCAGCCATTACATAACAGTACGTGGTAATCATGCTTTGCGTCTTCATCCAAGTTGTGTGCTCTATGCCGCTCCTTCGACATCCCGATGGCCGAAGTGGATTCTCTTCTCACGAGTTCATCTCAGCGCTCCTGTTCATGATAATCCTTTAGCAACTTCGACTAGCAACGATCCAGCCATTGCTACGGCCACTTGTATATCTGGCGTGAGTGCTATTGAACCAGATTGGCTTATGGAACTTGCTCCACACTACTTTCATTTTGGAACTGCCAGGGAACATGCTCTCAGCAAATGATTCCTTCTTACTCTATCATCTCGTCTTGTTAATAAAAAACTGTAATGTACTTTTAAACCAGTGATTTCCTTCAAAGTAACTCAAGGAGTATGGTTTCTGTCGCTCTCATCTGCCTTCCCACTAGTTATTGTTCGACTGAACGATAGGCAAACGCCATTATAGCTATTAGGTCAATAAGGAAAGAAAGATAGAAGAGCGTAATGAATAGAAGGTACAAAAGTGAGTGACAATTATAGTTCTGCCATGTTGTCCTCTTCTCGCGGCATAGCAGCTTTCTCTTCGTTCTCCACGAGTGCGCCAAAAGTTCGAGTTGAAATACGGGCTTTTAATTGAGTTAGTGAGGATTTTAGACTAGCATAACTCGAATCCATTAGGTTACATATCCTGAAAATATTTATGGAATTTTTCCTCGTCCAATCATCATACATGATAGCGTCTCTACTTATATTATGACGCATTACTTATGTCTGATATGATCTTAACCCTTGCAGTTAGTAACACTGTTGTAATTTAGCTTACGAAAAATTACTATGCTTTCATGAAACAAATGCATGCTTGTACTCAAGAGTGAAGATCGATCGGTTTCTGATTCGATCTCGACCATGTGAGGCTAAATGGCACTTGTTCGATATGCTACTCCTTACGCTAATTGTAGATAATTCGCAACGCTTTAAAATGCTTTTTGATTTATCATCTAAATTACAGTATGTTATTTAATGCTATTAATTTAATTCGTAAGATCGTAATTGACCAGCCTGTTATGAAAGCAGTGCTTTATGAGTCTTCTCTTGAGCTTGTGGCAAATTGCTGCACTAATAAGCCATGACTATACTCACTAATCTTTATGGCAGATTCTCCCATGTTTGGAAAGACTCCCAGAATAGTTAGGCCACCGCAACGCTAATAGAGGAGACGGGTGTATGAGGTTGAATACATTTATTAGGTATGTCGAGGCACGCACACTGTGTATTCGGAGCGGGAATTATTTGGCTCGGTCTTCAGCGCGGTTACGTAGAGACCTGTAACCTAATCCTTTTATAAAATTTCTGCTATTACGACCACGTCATTTCACTGAATGCTTATTGGTCGAGTGTTTCCTGCTTTTGTTTAGCTAAAGTTCCTCACAATACTCTCTCTCTCTCTCTCTCACTTTGACTTCTTGTGAAATGAAGGATGGTGAATGTTACATTCCTTTTTCAGCACAAGTAACAACAGTTATTTTGCGTCCATCATTCATCGACATTTATATTCTCCTCAAAGATCCAGAAGAGTTGAAATGATTTTTTAAAATAAAATTATTATACTTATGTGCTTATATTTATATTATTATTTTACAATCTTTAAATGTAAGCATTAACGATGTCGTTTTGTAGTAGCTTGCTACGCTAGTAAAGCCTGACTGACTCAGAAATCTCTATGGCAGATTCTCCAACATCTAGCTAGACTCCCAGAACCAGCTAAGCTATAGCCCAGTTATAAAGGAAACAGACGTGTAGCACGGTGCACGTTTACTCAGTACGTATATTGCTGATAAAGTGTACATGCAGGGAGCTTAACCATGATCAGGATGGCGGATTAGTTAAAAAACAGAGGTTAATGAATGGTCACTGTTTGTACGGTCACACCTCCCAATCCTGGCGTGCAGGCATGCGATGACGTATCCCACAGTTTCCTCAATTATATTTTAATTGATCCAGAATTCCTTGACATACCATTTATAAAATGCTATCATAAAGATCTATTTTGTAAACGAATATCACTGCATTACAAACTATTTAATTCTTAAATATTTAAATGGCGTCAGCTTCTGGCGAACCATACATTATTATTTATTACATGCCGTTTATAATATGTGCAGGAATACATTAACTTTAATGTTTATTTGCGATTCACCTACTTTAAGAGTCTTATGGGGAGCTATCGAAAGCCTATGGTGCAGTAAATGACCCAGGGACTGGAGGTCACATTAACGTATGTGTATTATGTTAATCACAGGAGTTGCCTTATACAGACTACCAAATGCAGAATTGATCGAGAAGTCATGAACAGTTTGAACTACCCCGCACAATTTTTTTCAGGACATATTCCTACACGTAGGAAAATTAATCTCCCATGAGAGTGGTTCCTATTAGGGGTTATTCACTTATTTACCAATAGAAGCACGTGTGTCCTGCTTCGCTAAAGTGGATTAGGTCGTACTGCACTGTGCGTGGTCGATGGAATTGTGCTTGTAACGAGTACAATTCTTTGTGGTCTACCAGTCGGATGCACTATTCTGTAGGATAGAGCAAATGATCACTCTCCAACAACTGCACTACTACAAACTCTAAAGGTTAACTTCTACAGCTATTTCACAGATTAGCGTGATAGGGAGTGCCTGGAAGAAAACAATTGTAGTGCGTATTGATTCTATGATAGTTACAAAGCAATGGGGAAGATTTGAATTGCTAATACCACTTCAACAAGCTCGCTTCAACGAGTACATATGGAATTAGTGCTGATATATTTTGTAAATGTGCATTCATACTTGATATCTGTACTCCTATTGCTATCTCAGGGAAAAGTAATAGTCTATGTAAAAGTTTTTTTCCATTCAAGAGAACATAACAGACCAATCAACCAGACACCTTTGTGCAAACACTCGAGGCGATTGTCCAGAGACCTCTTCCTCAGGAATCTCTTAGCGCGATTCCTACAACCATACCGACCTTCTGCTGATAACAAACAGCATTGCATCTTCTGTGAGACGAAATACGGAAATGAGAATTTAACAGCGGATTGAAGGTTAGAAAATTGGGAAGCGAACACCAAACCCACATTCCAAATTTCAGCATCTCCTAAAACTGCAACGGCAATAATGAAATTGCTTTGAGTGATCTGATTGTTACTATGGATTGCTAAAGGGGATTTCACAAATTTGCTTGATTTGATGCCATGATTCAATTAGCTCCAATTGAAATTCCACTAACTACCTCATCCATTAGTTGTGCTTGATGAAAAGTGAAAAAAAACGTATGAAGGCACCCTCTATTGGCGTCCTACTTGTAGCATTGTCTTTCTTCCCTCATTTGTCTATTCTGGCCAAGGCGATTACACCTGTCTCATGACCACCAAAAGTGCTCGCCAAATGCTCGTTGCAAATGAGACTTGAATAACTCAATGAGATAATGAACATGTGTGCGCCAATAAAGTTAATTTGAACAAATACTATAAATAATTCAAAATAAATAAAAGTTAAATCCTTACTAGTCGACGTAGTACAAAACGGGCGTGCGAAAAAAAAAATTTTTTTCGAATTAAAAACTAATAACGCAAGTGATAATGTCATAAAAGTAGCAACTGTAGTGAACTAAATAACGAAAAAAATAATTTGAATAGTCTAATAGCGTGCAAGCCTCTCATTACAAATTAATGTGAGAATGTAAGCCAAACTGCAAAATAGGAAGGACAATTTTTTTACAAAAGTAAGTAAAAATTGAATTACTATACCAAAAGCAATAAAGATCAATTTTCATCATATTTAACGTCTTCGTCGCTCAAATTTATACACAGGAGCGCGATCCTTATTTCCTTTCCGAATGACTTTATGCTTCAAATGGGAATGCTTCTGCAAAAAGAATAAGAGTTTCTATATACGAAAAAAAATAAGGTGGCAGAGAAAGCAACCAAAATTACCATTAATCTATCCTTTGCTTCTCGCTTTCTAATAGCCAATTTGAGAAGATCTGCTCGCTTAATGCGCTCAGAGAGTTCCTTGTATCCGGCAGCCCGTAGATTCATAATCTCCTCGGCAACATTAGGCTTAACGCTACCGGGGATTTGCGTAGTAATAACCGAATCTTGAAATGACGCTCTAATAGCACGAGCCTCTTCAATTGACTGTGCAAAAACTGTTTGCTTAGGTTTGAGTCGTTTATTGGTTACAGTGGGGTCCGCCGGTAGAAGATTAAAACGAGCCTCTAGATCACTTATCTTTTTCATTTCAATTGTTAATTCTCGACGCAAGTAGCAAAGATCTCGGGAGATCATATCTTTTAAATCATCGTCACTATATTCTTTCTCATTGTTGAGTGGAATATGGCCAAGTTCTTGCTAAGAGGATATCAGATATGAAGAAATAAAACCAACCGAAAAAGATGAGTTATGCATAGCAAAATAGAATTCATCTTCATTTTTGGTCAAGGCTTTTCTTTTTAACTCAATGATCTTATTTCTCTTAGTTTCATTATCTCGAGCGCGTAGAACGAAATCTTTCTTTTTAGGAAGTGCACCAAACCTGGCACGGGAAGCTGGCTAAAAAAATTAACTGGCAATTACATAAAATACCTGAGAACGCTCCTTATGTAGCCTAGCATTGCGCTTCTGGATATTCTTGAAAGATGCGAAAGGCATAATGACCACACAACGAACGTAAGCACGACGAATTATAATTGGCTGGAAATAGTTGTTTAAATAAGCTAATCAATTAATAGAAAAAATATCTTAAAATCATATATTTTTCAAAAATAATTTCAATAAAATCTTAATAAAATTATAAAATAATTATATTAAATAAATTTCAAGCGTTTATTACAAAATGGCTTTTATCTCCTCAACCTTTCTGTGCACAATGAGTAGAAAAGCAAACCGTTTTATAGACCGCCTGCGTATTTACGTCAAATCTGGTTCCGGTACTGCCGGTAATCCTCTTGTTCGTGGAAAAGGCGGAGATGGTGGCAGCGTTTACCTGAAAAGTGTTGAGGGCTTCAGTCTAAGTGATATTATTAAAAAATACCCAAAGAAACGTTTCATCGTACGTTCTTTATTTTTGCGTATACCATTAATACTTTAAAATAGGCGTCTTCCGGAGGTAGTGCAACTTCTCGAAAATGTTGTTTTGGAACCAAGGGTGCAGACGTTGAGGTTCCCGTACCAGTTGGGATTTCAGTTTCTCTCAATAATCCTGGTGAACCAGTCCGATTAATTGGTGATTTGAACCAACCCAATCAACGTCTCTTAGTCGCACAGGGTGGTTACGGTGGTTCCTCTGTAACGAATTTTTTCGGAACACCCGGAGAAGCTCGTTCCATCGTTCTCGATTTAAAGGTTTGCCGTACCTAAATTATGCTTTACGTTTCATTTTTAGTTACTGGCAGATGTCGGTCTTATCGGACTTCCAAATGCTGGGAAATCGAGTTTGCTTCATGCCCTTTCTGGTGCGAAGACGAAAATCGCCGCTTATCCTTTCACTACTCTTCGTCCACAGATTGCAACTCTTTTTTATCCTGATCATCGATCTATCACAATGACAGACTTACCCGGTTAGTTATTATATTGTTGTATCTCTTTTTTACCTCACTTTATTGCCATTTTTATTGCAATCACCGAAATTTTATTAGTTTATGATTTCTGAAGTTCTGATTTGTTCAGGTTTCCTCTCTCTCCTATGCAGCTTCTATAGTTTCTTGGCGGCTCAGATTCTACTTTGTTGAACATATTGTTGTGAAAATGAATAGTTCCTGATGTGGCAGACATCATGTACGGTTTTGTGGTTTTTTTATTTCTGTTTTTTTTTTCCTTACTTCAGACATTCTTTGAACCGCTTCTACTATGCATCTTTGTTGGTGCCCCCTTTTTCATAAGTTTTAAATTCTTCGTCGGGAATAATAATCCATTCTATTTTAGGATTATCGGATATTGCCGCCAAAATGTGTGCCGAAAATAATCTTATGGAAGCCCCACCTCTAAGACATGCGGGGTTTTTAAAGCATGTTGAAAGAACGTCTTGTCTTCTTGTCGTTCTCGACGCTTTGGGTTTTCAAGCTAATCAACGCGCTCCACTGAGAAATCCCGTTTCAGCTGCTATGCTTTTGATTAGTCAACTTCAGCGGCATGCATTCGGCCGTCTGTTGGGCAAACCAATGCTTTGTGCTATTAACAAGGTAATCTTTTCGCGCTTATCTAATAGTTTTCTTTAGAATTGTTGATTTAGTTTCCATTATCTTTTTCCCCACAGATTGATTTGCCGTGCGCTGAGGACGTGGCCAACGAGGCGAGGGAAATATTGATGAGTAACGACTGCGACTATATCATGAAGACTAGTGGGCTTCCTTCTGTACTCCTGCCTAAGCATGAATTCCGTTTTGAGGAGGTGTATCTAATATCCGCCGCCAAGCGTACAAACCTTAAAAGTACTCTTTTTCTCCTTCTCAAGCCCATTTATACTGATATAATTTAAGTAACAAAAATTCATTTATTTTACTTAGATCTCAAAACTGGATTGCGATATTGGCTTGACGTTATTGAGTTGAGGCGACGTAAAGATGATTTGGAAGAAGTAGAGAAAGAAGTTAAAGAATCTATAGATTATGCTCTTAAGGACCATTTACCGACTATTCACTAATTACCGAATTTCTTCGGAATTTGTAAATAAAACTATATTTTCTGTAATCATCTTTGTCTTGTTTTGAGGAAAAGTAGGTTTTATGTGCATCTTCAAAATAGTGTTAATGTGTACCCTATTTGCCTACTAGCTTTTCAGCATAACTTATGGCCCCAAGAAATAGCTAAATAAAGGTTTAAGTGTTGATCCTCAGCGCTGATTTTTGTCTTTGCGTACCTTCAAAACTCACTGGAGAGTGAATTGCTCTAAAGAATAATTGGCGTTTCTCTTGAGCAATTTGGCAGCTCTGAGTATTATCGGTAAATGCTAAATAAAAAGAGACAGTAATGCGGTACCTTCATTAACGTTTAAGAAAGCAGATATTAGTCCAACAGTTTACAGATAAAAAATTCCACTTGAACATTTTCCATATGAATCACGTTTAAAGTCCCAGTAGTTTCATCTCTGTGTACTGGCAAGCATTATTTTTCGTCGTGGAAAAAGCATGATTTTGTTTATTATCATTTTGTTATATGCTCAGAAATAATTGAGCGATGCTAGCGCATCTGTTGAACACACAACGTTGTCTCATGCGCCCAGGCAGGCTGGAAGGTGCGGTCGTGAGCGGGGGAACACACCGCTAACCGATAATCAATAACCCTCGCTTGGTTCAACAAACCTCGCCATATTAATATAAGGACTAAGCTCCTTGTCAGGACACACCACACGCACACGCGGTCCACGTGATACGTCTGTTTCCTTTAAAGCTTTGTGGTAGCTTAGCTAATTCTGGGCGTCTTTCTAAACAAGAGAATCTGACATAGACATTACTTATTGGTGTAGCGATCATTATGATTATAACTAAAGCGGTATTTAATTTTGATCAAAAGATTCGCATCTTTCCAATTTCGCTTGGTGTAGTTAGGCAAAATTACCCTATTTTGTTCTTGAATAATTTAGTTCAAGTTGTGAAAATTCGAGAGTAGTGGAGAAGGTCTATCGGCAACGTTCTTATTAGTGGCCAAGCTTGCGGAACTACTAGCATTGATACTGTTTGAAAGGACGCTAGTAGTAGAAATGTCAACTCTGACTACCGGGAAAAGGTGAGGACGGTTCTGTTTGACGGAAGGATTTGACTGAGACAAATTATGGGCATGGATACATTGATGCAGATATTTTGCCATCAGAACATCTTCATGCAACACCACTACTCGCACATTTAAGTTAGAAGAGCAACTAAAGCTCCTCTTTAAGTCCAAAGAAGAAAGTTGGGTGTCAACAGAAGTGGGAACTAAATCCAATTTCTGTCGTATCTGCTTTCTCGATCGAACATGACTTGTGAGGCAGTGGCTTTCTCAAACGTTGACCGAGGTCTATTCACCAAGTGAATGGTTATATACATTTTTAATAAATGTGCCAATAACTGACCTCATAAATTGCCATTCATTGCCTCCCCACCCTCTATCTCTCCTTAATTCCTTCAATGGGTTCGCACGTCAGGATATTGTAATTCTGCATAGCCGCGAATATTCTCTCGCTCATCAACTGAATTCTCAAAGGTTTACTAGAGCCAATATCAACTACGTTGACTTTGCGAGGAGAGGAATGAGGTGGAACCAATTGTTATGGCTGCTTCCGCAATGTACCCGCATTGCCAATTGCACATTGCTCACACTCTTGCTTCCCGACTGGGCGTCATGGTGATATATAGTTGCTAGATCAAATTATCCTGCCTGTTCTTCTTACTACTGCACCCAAGAGCAGTGTTCATGCCATCTAAATGGTTTGACTGGTCATATTGATTACAGACACTCCTTAATTTTCCACAACACTCTTTCGCCCTCTACACGTGGCTTAGATTTCGTGATGGTTGATCATTAGTGATCCGTGTATCGATATTGCGAACCGAGACGTGGCGAATGCTCACGTTGACTGACGCACATTACTTATCAACTACGCTGAAACCAATTTATCTTGTGCTAATATTCCTCTTCCTTTGCAAATGATCAAAAGTGACAATCAATCATTCAATTATTTTATTTTTCACAGCCTTTGAAATCGTGGCCCTCGACACACCTCGAGGAAAACGGAGATCAAGCGAACCTTGAAAATTGAGTTTGGGATATTGTAAAGTGTATTAACACAAGTGATAAATCTCACCCGTGAATCTCTTCTCAATGCAAATTAAATTAAGGAATCGAATAACTTTTCAAAGTTATGTTTGACTTTCACACTTTTTATTCCATAATGTGCAATTCTGCCATTGTATGGCATGAATACAAATTGCAGGAGGTTGTTTTACATTAGCATTTAGGGCAGTAATAAATGCCTCTTGAAACAGATTAACGCGTAAGTGAAAGTAGGAAAAGGAGAGTGAAGAGGTGTCGGATATTGGGGTGGTGAAATCTGTGGACGGGAGGATTTGAGTTATCTTAGGAGCACTGGATGGTTATGTCGGACAATTGAGTATTAAACTTAGCTTAAAGGTGAGTTATCCAGAGACAAGGTTCTACAAATGCTCATCACTTGGAATTGGCCGTCTGTGTTCCACGCCATGTTCCAGATCTTCCAATGACTTGGATTTTGACCTTTGGGAATTCTTCTTCCCCGAGCATTTGCTGCATCTGCCATTTTTAATTGCCAATATTATATAAGCAAGGAGTAATGGGCATGGAGTACAAAATGAAATAACGAGAGGCATAATTGCGCCAATATCACCTTCTGGCTGTGGCATGGAGTAAAGCAGAACCAAGATCGCAATTCCAATATTCTGGATGCCAGTTTCGATGGCTATTGTTAGGATCTCGGCTCTTGAGCGACGGAAGATGAAAGCCAAAATAGCAGAGAGCAGAAAGCCAGTCCAAGGCAGCGCAGCAGCGGCAGGAAGTAGGAGTGGATAAGCTCCAAGTAAGGCGTAGATAGGCCAGTTTACATACCCTCCAAACCCTATGACGAGTAAGAGAAATGCAATAGCTAGGGGTCGAAGGAGGGCTTTAACTAAGCGCCTAGCGAGGGTTGGCCACTTCCACTTAATTAGCATGCCCATAATTACAGGAATTAGGATGTAGCAGAGTTGGCTGGCAATTTGACTGTACGGGATTACAATGCGTCGTGTATCAAGGAAGAAACGACCATAGGTAAACAGCATTAGCGGCATCATTCCTGAAAACCAATGCATCAGCAATACATACAACAAATGGGGAGGGAGAATAATTGATTTTTTCCTCTAAATTTACCTAGAGCAGCTACCGAGCTTATGAAAGTCATAGTCATGCTCAAGTTGAGGTCCCCATGGAGTAGCAGAGTCCAAATATTTGATCCACCTCCTCCAGGACAACATCCTGTTGTTAAGAGTCCAAAACCGAATTCTGGTTTTATAGGCATTAGTATTGCCACTCCGAATGCAATCTGAAATGATGAAAATCAGCTTGTGGCCAAGACAATCGAAATTACCACATCCCTTTAAGCAGTGCTCAAAATGAACGTATGCATTCTGTGCCCGATCCATCAAATAAATGTGTTTTCAGCACGTGTGCCATTAGTACTATTTCGAGTGAGATACGTTTTGACGGCGAAAACAATGTACAAATCGACTGAATTAAGAATCGAGAGCAGTATCATTCCATGTTCACAGGAGAGCCATAATAACAAAGAGATTTAAGCAAGCGGTTCTTGATTTAATACTGATATTACAGATGCGGTGGAAAAAGCTCTAAGATACTTTTAGAAAGTTGCTTTCTAATTGGAAACGGTAACGATTCAGGAAACAAGTGTCAGGAAATGTTTATCTCTTAGAATCGTGTTCCGCATTGTTCGATATCTTGGGTTTTAGCTTAACGGATGTCATTCCACTGAGCATCTTGTGCAGATGCTCTTCTAAGTGGTGGATGATGGAGGATAGGGGGGGAGTTGTATTTTACTGGGAATTAATAAACCCCTCTCAAAAGATCTCAAACTGAGCTCATGCACACCGTCTGTTTGAATATCCACACAAAGAAAAGTTGAAACATTGACCTAGAATAACTCAACTTTAATTCATTTTGGAATTTGAGTTGGTTTTAGAGGGCAAACTTGCCTTAGTGTCAGTTGCCTGTTCATGATAAGTAACGTTCAGAACTCATGCCCACGACAGATAAGGTGTAACTGGGATATGTAAGGATAAGTATATCCTGCCCAAAGACTTTGTAGAAATGAAACTGAGAGTGGTGTGTTCAAGGGGGTGTTGTGGGGTGCTTTGCATCTCCTTTGGAGTCTGATGAGCAGACACTAAATTGCTTGCTTGGAAATTAGATTAGTGTAGACATTACCATGGGCAGAATGATACTAACGGGAATTTGATTAGCATGGAAGACGAATGAGGTGCGTTGTTTGCAAAAACCATGTAAACCTGGCACTACGGGTGCTTAGCAATCGTTTATTTCACTAAATTAGGCTTCGACTCGTTCGCCCACTACTTTACGCGTCTGGATTAATAACGAACTGGCTTATTATTATTATTATTACTATTATTATTATTGGTAGTAGTAGTTTCATGAATGGTTAAATTAGTGACCGCCGTAGTTTTAACGAACTAGGGGTGACCCGACAAATTGAAATTCTTCTCCGTTTTCCATATATTATTTCCCTCGAGTTATTGCCAATTTTTCGCTAACATTGTGATTCTTGTTCGCATTGGGAGTACTTCCAAAATTTCCAGCTACGAGTAGGCCCGATCTTAAGAGGCAGTTCGAAATATGTGAAAGTGTTTGAGTCACTCACTCTTTAACTGCGTTCCAATGACATGAAGCTAATCAGGTTGCACAAAAATGCAGCAAACGGCTCAATACAGTTCATTTGCTAAGTCAGTGCGTCATGGCTGATTGAGTGCTGGTCTTCGTCCGTCCTAGTTCATTTCCGAATTATGGAACTCATTTTGTGGTTCCACACATCACCCGAACGCATCCCATCCAAACCTCTAAGCCTCCATCTTGTGTTTGAACAAGTTCTACAGTCAGTGACCTCTCTTATCTTGGACTTTTGACGTGGCGGTGGTGGTGGTCGCGCGAAAAAGGCAGAGCGAGAGATCAGCAAGAACTCTACAAACACTTGGCTAACCTGCTACCGTCAACTCTCATGCAGCAAACTCTCTGGCCTCGAGGATATCAGAATAAGGTCATATTTACTTTTACGAAATGGAGCAATCTGGAATTTTAGGTGAGAGATTAATGTGTAAATGTGTGAAATCACAGTGGTTAACAATATGAAGGTGGTTTCAATCCTATTTATGATGACATCCACCACTTTGACACTATCATGTGTCCATCTCTATCTTTAGATAAGCTGCAGTTTAGGATTGCGTACTGTTAGATAAGGTGCATTATATTTCATTGCATGGGGTGCACAATTGACTTACCTCCACGTGGTGCACCCTGGACAATATATGCGCATATGGCAAAAAGTCTATAACTCGGCAATTGATTTCAAACTATTATGATCATCCTGAAACCAAACTATAAGAGAAATCACTTGTCAGGGCGAATCACAACTTCTAGAGGTCCTTCAGTGGAATACCAACTCCCAGGTTACACCTTATATCTCCCATCCAAAAACGGCCAAGTAACAAATGGAGTTTTGACTGGAGTTAAAGAAGGCCTCACGTCACATTGCGAACTAATCAAGTGTATGGGCGCGACGTAAGACATATACGAAATAATCTGATTAAATGTTTGGAAATGTCAAAACCACTTCAAGATATACGAGGCCTATAATCCACCCCAGAGTAGACCCAGCTTCGATCTTCTGAACATCTCATACAGAACTATAGTTCTTGGAGACTTCAACGCCCATTCCACTAGATGGGGCTATAAGAACATAAACACAAATGGAAAGGAAATTGAAGACATGCTTGACAGCAGCCCTCTGGAACTTACTTACAGCTATATATTTGCACTACAATGGAACAAGAACAACTCCTGACTAGGCCCTGGCTTCAAGCGACATCAGTCAGGTTGCACACCGCAAAATAATTGACGAACCTGGTTCTGGTCGCAAATCAGCCATTATTAGTATTACCATCAGTAACAAGTGCACGGCAACCAAATTGGCAGCCAAGCTAACATGGAACTTCAAGAAGGCCGAATGGTCTAGATTCACAAACCTTTTAGAGAACGAACTTTACGCAAGTCCCATTAACTACAACCACCATCCTGACAAACTGTGCAACAATATCGCAAATATTATGATCAGATGTGCAAAGAAAACTATTCCCCGTATAAAGGCTAAACACTATAGAATATTCTGGTCTAAACACCTTGAGGAACTGAAAAGAAAGCTGGACGCCCTTTGCAACACTGCTGATCAGACTGGAAGAATGGAAGACATACAAGCCTGGAGACGACAGTCAGCTGTCCTAAGACAAGCCATCTTACAAGCCAAGCAGACTACCTTCGACATCTTCATCTCAAATATCAACTATCAAAGTGATAGCCAACG